AGGTCTGTGGACTAAGGGAGACTATACCTTTTTGCCCCCGGACTTGGGGAAGTACCCCAAGTGCCTGTACTGGGTTGAGTACCCGTGGGACTTTAGGCCTGTGTTACCCCAAGGACACAGGGCCGCGAGACAGTCCATTCTTGGGGTGGTGGCGGCACGTTACCCCCAGACTAGCGAGTGTGCTCCGGGAGAGGGGTCGGCCGGACATAAGGCGCCCCTAGGGAGGCATTCGGAGCCTGGAAGGTGGTCGGGCGCAGGGAGGTGGGCAGCTCGACGCAGGAGCACCCCCTACTGGCCTGCCTCACATGGTGGAAACAGCGGAGGGATACGAATACCCAGCTGTGTTCCTGAGGTGGGATCTCTGCACCTGCCACACTCCCTACCTAGCTTTCATGGCTGCGTCTAGATGAGCATGAACGTTCAGTTCCCTGAGGACAACTAGCCTTGTGCCGCTGCTAGTCCCCGGGGAACACCTGTGCACGTGCCTTCTGGTGCACAGCAGGACCCTGGGTGGGTAGGGGACTCTGGGGCCAGCAACTCTGCTGGCTCCAGCAGCCTTACCTGAGTCCAGGAAAGCTGCTGCCATGTTGCTCCTGCAGCTGGGAGCCTGGCTGGCAGCTGGAATATGGCTCCAGCCAGCCACGCTCATTTTGGGCGGTACATACTGCCTCCACATGCGCCGCTCCACCTTTTTTCTGCATGGATTTTTGACCCCAGGATTTCCCAGGGTTAAAACCCCTGCCCCAGCACAGCAAAGTAACAGCATGGGAAGCACCTGAATACGTGGTGTGTGGCTCGGCAGACAGGTCTGCAGCACTACATATTGCATGACCATGCTCATTTGGCTGCAGTGCGTTTGTGCATCTGTTTTCTCCTCTATAAAACAACAATTGATCCTTCATTGCTATCAGGGTGAGGGCAGGAGAGTGGTTACATCTCCTTCATCATGCCTCCCAGCCCATGGGCCCCACTGCCTGTAAAGTGCTTTAGGATCCTTGGGTGGAAGAAGTTTATTAGAAGGGCAAAGGCCAAGGAGGGAGCTAGTCATTGATTTCTGGTCACTTGTATGGCAGTAGTCCTCCAACTCAGACTCATCTTACCACCTAACTAGTGTCTGTGTCCTCCTCCTCCTCCCTATACTGTTGTCTTGCTGCTTGCTGTTCTCCATGTCAGGGCGGCAGGGGCAAGGTTTTAATAAGGAGCAGTCTCAGCCCAACTAGGCGCAGAGCCGAGATCCAGTGACTAATATCTGATGGTGGAAGGCTCCAGCTGGGCTCTAGGATCCCAGGAAGCGACAGAGCATGAATCACCACCTGCTGCCTGGCAGCAGAGGAGAGCAGAGTACGTGTGCCACAAAGACCTCTGAGGAGCCCACGGGTGGTGGGCGTGCAAGCTCCCCTCGGCCTGTGCTCGGCAGCTGCTGGAGCTGGGGGCTGCTTGGTGCCCAGCTTGAGTGAACTGGCCACTTTGGGACTAGCACCACTGCTCTGGATGCCTGTGCTTCTGCGTTTAAAGGAGGAAAAGCTCTTTCTATATCTCCTTGGGTATATAAAAGGAGAGCACCCAACAGTCAGGTATTCTTTTGTGGTGCAGCTTCCCCACCTGGGCCCAAGGGAAGTGCACCTCCTTAGACCCGCTCTTGGCAGTGCTGTTACAGGAGCGGTATTTGCTGGCACTGAAGTGAGGCCAGTCTTGTAACCTAGTGAGACCCTAGAGATTGCCCGTCGCCCTCCCAGAGGAGCTAGGGATACAGTGAAACCCGCATGTACCTGGGGTGCTGTTCCCAGAGAGGGGAGAATCTATTAATTTGCTCTCCCACTAGCATGCACACACACACTTTCTTGTCTCGTGCACATGCACGCAGATGCATACTTTCCCCAGAATCCCTTTGCCAAAGAGGCTGGTGGGTACAGAAGCAAACCGGTTGTTCCTGAAATGCAGATCATCGATAGCACAGCACGGTGATTGCACTACATTAGGTGAAGTGTCCGTCGGGGTAGAGGAAGGGGACCATGTGCATGTGCTGTTTAGGGAGACGGGTCTCGTGCCTCAGCCAGTGGGCTGGACTGCAGGATGCATGGGCTCTGTCCCACCTGCTGGGCAATCTCGAGTGAGTTACTTCACGACCCTGTGCCTCAGTTTCCCCTTGTGTAAAGCAGGGATAATGGTAGTGCCCTGCTTTATAAAGGGCTTTGAGGTGTGCTGATGAGCAGGGCTCAATGGATGCCAGGTGCAGGTGCTGTTCAGGAGCCTTAGGCTGTGCCCACCCCACCCCAACACATACATTAACCACCAAAGCTGCTAGATATGCTTTGTGGGTGACAGTGGAGCAGTGAACCAGAGGACTGGGCCTCTGCTCCATTGCCAGCTGCTGTGTTGGGCCCCAGTCTGAGCCCAGCCTGCTGTAAAGAAATGGCCTGCCTACTGGTCTTGGGGACAGGCATGCACCAGGGGCTCAGCACGGGGCTGGCGTCTGATTTGGGACTTCCAGGGACAGTGTACCATATGCAGCAAGTGAGAAATGTATCTGGATTGACTTGGTGTGAGCAAGCGGGGCTGATAGGTAGCCCACAAGGTGCATGCTTTCCCTGCAGGGCAAGGGCAAGCTGGGTAGTAGCAAGACTGCTAATGTGGTCCTCACCTGAGAGCAAGTGGGCTTCAAGGCCAAACCATCCCTTTGGCTCTGCCATGGGGAGTGTGGGCATGCTGCAGACAGTGACCAGACTAGTGACTTCTACCAGCCCCTCTTCTGGTAAGACCCCTTCCTCCTGGGCTGTATTAGCAAAAGCCTCCATGTCTGTGTATCACCCCCACCCCATCCTGATGCATGCCCCCCAAAACATCCCAGCAGCTCCCTGCCCACAGCCGATGCATGTCTGTGATCCCCTACATCCCTGGCGGCAGTGATTGCCTTCTAGTTCCTGTGGGTACAACAGGGGCAGGAACCTGTGACATGACAAGCGACTGCGATGGCAGCTTTGCCTGAGTGAAGACTGAAGGACTGGGCCCTGCTGTGCTTCACGTACGGAGTGAACTCAAGGGGGTAGCAAGTTCCCCATCCCACCCCATAGCATTGGTAGTCTGTAGCCCAACAGCTGGAGCTGCCGAGATGGACCAGCCTCCATGGGAAGGAGGGAGAGGGTGGTGAGCACCCATCTGGATTTGGAGGGGCAGCCTTCCCCCAACATGCTGGTGGGGGGGAGCTGGGACTGCCAAACAAACCCCATAGATATTTGCCCCATCCTTTCCCCTGCTGCCAGAAGAGACTCCAAGGGATACATGATGGGACTCTGTTTTATTTTAATTTCACTGCTTCTGCCTCTGAACTCATTCATTGCAGCACCACTCCTGGGGCAGTGCGGAGGGGGGTGCAAGCAATGGTCTAGGGTGTCCTCTCCGCGGACTGTGTGACGGGGCAATGGCCTGTGGAGTTGGGATGGGAGAGGGGAGAAAGGGAGCCTCTGCTAGGGCAGGTGAGAGGGTAGAGGAGTTCAGCTCCACCCAGTGTCAGAGGAGCCTGGTCATGTCCTTCCTGGGGTCTGGAGCAGGCCCTGTGTCAGTCCTGGGTGTGCGTGAGCAGATCTTTTCTAATGGCCTGAGTACACTTTGCCCCTTCAGACGTGCGGGAGATGAAGCCCCATGACTGCAGCAGTGTGAGACCCACATGCATCCCCCATCACCATAGTTGCAACCAGCTGGGCACGCTGCTGTCAGTCCCAGGGGCAGGGCTTTGCAAGATGCTCTCTCCAAATGCTTGGTTGCTTGTAGGGTCCAGTTCCACATGCACTGTGGTCCACCCAGCTTTCCCTTGCAGATGTCTCTCCATGGGGTCAGCAGCGGGGGTAGCTCAGTGCTAATTGCACTCATTGCCTTTTGGAGCAGTACCCATGGAGTAGGCTGCTGGGGACAGAAGCAGCCAGGGCTCCTGGCTGGACAGGAGCCGTTCAGGGCCTCCTGTCTGTGGTGCTGCAGGGATTGTCCCCGCTGGGTCCAAGCCAGCAGAGGGGAGAGCCCTGCATGAGGCAGGGGGGTGCAAAGGGAGGGGATTGGATGCAGTTTTACCATCGTCCTTCTCAGCCTCTGTCTCCTGCGGGAGGGTCCTGTCACTGGGATCTTCTGGCAGAAGAGCAGATGTAGGGAGATCTTCCCCTGGGTGCTGGGGAGAAAAGAGGGGACAGCATGAAAACCTCGGTCTGGCTGCTGACGGGACAGAGGGGAGCTTGGGGAAAGCAGCTGTTCAGTTCCTACCTGATTTTCTTCGGGAGTCGTGGTTGGGAAGCTCAGGGAGCAGCGTGGAGGTGGAGGTGGCCGTAGGCAGGGGCAAGCAAAAGATGCGGGAGAAGATCACGTGTTAAGCAGCTACCGTTGTTGACCAGTGACTTCCCTATCGTGGCAGGGGCAGGGCATTGGCCCTCGTCTCCCCTGCTCTTACGTCCAGGGGTGTTGTCGGTGTTTCGGGTGCTGTGCCTGGCAGTTGGGTGTGAGGGTCTGAGGTGGTGACTGGGGGTGCTCCTGGGACCTGTGAGGAGGTGTGAAGTAGTGAATGGCAAGTGTGTGCGGAGGGATGGATGCCTGCTGTGGTAGGGGGCTGGGGGCGGCTGTGCCGGGGAGGGGAGTCGATTGTTTTGTGGGGTGTGAGTAAGAAGTATACCTGGTGGTGAGGGGGACAGCGTGTCAGCCAGCACCGTGCAGCCCATCTGTGCAGATGTGGCTTGCTCAGAGCGGTCTCAGCAGACACAGAAACTTCTTTCACTGCTCTGGCTCATTAGTCTTCAGAAAGACCAAAAGACGGTGCGAGGATGGGCTGAGCCAGGCAGAGGCCACCCTGCATTACACATTACACAAGGCCCAGCAGCTGCCCTGCCAAGCTGTGCTGCGCAGGCCTGGGGTGAGATGCAAGCTCGGTGCTGCGTGGGAGTGTGTGGTTTGGGACCAGGAGGGCTGCAAAGGCAGCAGCAACCTCCATGCGGGCACTGCTCCGGAGGGGCTTGCCTCCAGCCTTCCTTGGCGGGCAGGGGACATGTGCATTGACATAAATAGGCCCTGTCTTGACCGTGAGCTAACTGCAGCAGTGCACGCAGCCACACCTGCAGTGCCATGAACGGACCAGAGGGAGCGCAGCCATGTCTGCATAATGCCAGGACCGAGCTAATTAGCCACAACGCGCATTGATTAGCCCACCTTTTGCACCAGCACCTACTGGTGTTAGCGGAAGGAGGAGCTGGCATGAGCGTTCCCTTTGAAGTCATTAATGAACCTGTGCAAAACTCTGGGTCTCTTGGTTCAGAGATGGTACCTTTTATCAGACCAACTAAGATATCACAAAAAAATATATCTTTTTGCAGTTTCTTAGTTGATCTAATACAAGGTATCATCTCTGAACCAAGAGTTTTAGAGTTTTACATTTCTTTTTGTCTCAGACCAACACAGCTACCAAATACATCCCTTAATGAAGCTGTAGCATTCATGTTAAAGCTGCAGTCATTAACCAGTCCTCCTAGCATCCCCTCTGCCTTGGGAACCCAGGGTCTTGGCTTACAGAGGTGCCTTGTGTGTATTAGGTGCATTTCTCCCAGACTTCCCACCATTGCTACCACCAGCCAGCTGTGAGAGCACTAGTGCAGACAGCCTCCAAGCCTCCCCGGCCATTTTAGCCACTGCCACCGAGACTTGCTGCGAGCAGGCTGAATCAGCGCGACATGTAAAATCTGGCAACCTGTCTACACTGCAGCTTGCTGTGACCGTTGCAATGGTGGCAATGTGGACAAAGCCTTTGAGTTGCAACCTGTCTGGTTTTTCAGAGCCCTGTAACACAGTAGGGTTTACTCTGCACTTGGCATGCAGGGTTTGGACTTCCACAGCCCGTGTCTAATTTGAAGCCGTCACAGTTTTATAAATTGGCACGCAGCTGCCGGCTTATGATTGAGATCAAAACTGCTCATCTAAAATGATGTGAAAGCTGGTCCAGCTCAGTCCAGAGCCCCAGTTTTACATGCAAATTATTTTCTTAATACACCTCAAAAAAAAAGCAAACCCAAAACAACCTCAGTAACTCGCACTAGACCCTCAGAGCCCTTTGCAGAAGTCTGGACTTGAACAACGATTTCGGGCTGGTATAAAGAGAAGCTGATAAACCGGCTCCCCTCGTGGTCAAGGAGTCTACCCCTCTATGCTGGAAGCTATCATTTGAGTCTTTCTTTTCACCCCATTTTCATGTACTAGCGCTGTGTATGCTCTAAGCACACTCAGATGTTCAGCAGATGGGTGTTTGATTGACATGTAAATTGCTTAGAAACCATGAATGGAATTAACTCGCTCTAGGAGGAAAAAAGCGGCATCTGTGTTTTCAATTCGATTACTTTAGATCTAAATGTACTCTCTCTTCTTAATGTGGAGGAACAGCAGTTGCTAAGTGTTAAGCGATCCTTGAAGCTGGCCGCTGGCCCCGGTTGCCAGAACACCGAGGCATCATCCTCCTGCTGTGTCTTTCCTTCCCATTCCCTAGATGCACTAGCTCAGGAAAAAGGATGCTCAGCTTAGACCTGGAAGAAGCCAGAGCTATTACTGGCACAGTCTCCTACATGTGTAGTGACTTTACCAGCACCACAGCAGGCAGCGTGAATACAGCTCGGGGTCTGCTGCTGCTCCAAAACACGGGCTGCTTCTATCATGTTACCAAGCAGTGATTTGGTTGGCTAGCAGCAGTAGTAGGTCCTTATCCCCTGTGTTGATGGGCCACTAGAAGGGGATAAAGTGGTCACGGCGTGATTGATCTAAGCTAATATCTGGGCAGATGCCTGCCCTTGTGCAGGTACCACCGGTGGTCAGAGAAGACACGAAAACTTTGCCCATGCAGCAGAAAGGAGCTCCCTCCCCGCAGTTCACATCTACTCACCTCTCACAAGGAGCAAGCATCCTCACTGGGGACCCCTTTGATCTGAGCGACTGCTATGGCCTCAGTGTAGGCATGGCTTCCCGAGGACACAGACCGCCAGGAGGAACTTCTCTTGGACTTCCACCGGGACAGGTGGCTGCCATCTGTCTGGCGTCTCCGTAAATACTCTTTGTAGTTCTTGGAGAGCAATGTGTACAGGAAAGGGTTAATGCAGCTGTTGCTGTAAGCCAGGCAAGTCACGCCAAAATTGATGTAGACCACGGTGTTGCTGGGGGGGTCCGCCAGCTGGTAGTAATAGATGCTGAGCAGCTGCCAGAGCCAGAAGGGTATGAAGCAAGCCCAATAGGTGAGAACGATGCTGAAGATCAGGTACAGAACTTTCTGCTTGGGGCATCTATTCATTTCCTTGAAGGTGAAAACTGCTGTCTGAGACTTCCAGTAAGTCCTGGCCAGCTTGACATATAAGTAGCAGATGATGAGGCCTGGAGCCAGGATGCAGGTGTTAAACAGGACGGTGAGGTACACCTTGTAGGTCTCCATCTGCCACGTGGGGTGACAGATGCGCTTGGTCACCCCATTCTGTTTGCTAGTCCTGAGGTCTATGAGGATCATGGTTGGAAGAGAAAGGAGGAAAGACACCAGCCATACCAGGCAGGTGATTGGTCTCCGATAGACACTGGACCTTCTGATGGTATCTAAGGGCTTGACTACTGCAAGGTACCTCTCGGTGCTCATGATGGTGAGGATGAAGATGCTGGCATGCATAGTGAGCAGATCCAGGCTGAAGAGGACCCTGCATCCAATATCTCCAAAGTACCAGTCCTTCACGAAATAGGTGCAGACCACAAAGGGGATGGTAGACAGGTAGAGGAGATCCGCCAGGGCCAGGTTAACAATGTAAATGTACATCGAGCCTGTGAACTTCAGGGAAAGGTTTGTGACCACCAGCGTGTAGATGTTGCCGACGATGCCCACCAGACACATCACAGCCAGGATGCAGCTCAGGACGGAGGTGACCAATAGGTCGCTGGTGTCACCCAGGACTTCAAAAGTTGCGTTGGTCTGAACAGTTGTGTTCCTGGAGGGGCAGAGGGCAGATGTACATTGGTTTTGCTCCATTTCTTGTTCTTGGGTCCCAGGGTGATGCAATCAGCAGGCAAGTGTGGGTGGTTCCAGCCGGAAAGTCCAAATTATAGATGGTGTTAATGTCAAAGCTGGTCTATCGAGGAGCTGTCGTCAGACGTACAGCGAGGTTCTGCATGGCTGAGCTGATGGGGCTCCATTAGACGTGGAGAGTCCTTGTCGACGTAAGAGCCTCAGCCTGAGTCTTAACCCATGCTAGCACCTGCAGACATCCAGCCTCAGAGCAGCTCTCTGCTCTGTTCTTTGTCCCCCAGGCAAGAAACAACTTGAAAGGACTCCCAAGGCAAGTGGGGGATACAAGACTGCTACTTGCAAACACCCAGAGGCTTGTGCCTCCAAAGCATACACGAGCAGTAGCAGGCAGGTAGATGGGGAAGCGATTGATTTGCTGGAAATAATCCTCATGCTGCTGCCTAGCCCGTTGATTTTCCTCCCCATGAAAATTCAAGCAGTATTTGCTCCGACTCCCTTCCTTAAACAGTCCTGGTGACTCGGGAGGGTTTTACGTCTTCGGTGACTGACTCATAGGTGTGAGCGAGAACGGCTGCTCTCCAGCCCCGTCCCAAGTTCTGTTCCATGTGAAATTACAGGTAGCTGATGCTGGGAGCACTGGGCAGGAGATGCCGACGTCCCTGGAGAGAGACGGTGAGAGAAACACGTGAGGGCAATCCACTCCTCGCAGATGCTGGAATGTAAATCGGTCGCAACTGCACTTGAACGCCAGGGCAAATTTGAGCTGCTGCTTGAATAATACAACCCGACAGCTGCGGAGTCCCTGGCTGTCCCAAGGATGGTGTCGGGGCTGAGTGGAGAACTAGGAGGATCCCGACTCGCTCTTGTCTCTCCCCACGCTGGAAAAACCATTCACTTTCCACGAGTCTCAGCCAGAGGAAGGTGGGATCTGATGGCTCTGACAGCCCCACAGAGGTGGGATTTGTCTCTTTTTCTCCCCTATAAGGAAAAGCTAGTAAAACCAGCATCAGCACGTCTGCCCATCACGGCTGGGGCACTCACCTGGTGCCCCTAAGCCGTCACTCTTAGCAACACGGTGAGCTGGGAATCTGCCTCTTTCTGTACTTTTCAATACAGAACCCGTGAAAGCGTTGGCTTTTCTGCTTTCTAGGCTGTTATGCTGTATCGAACGCTTTTTGGGGAGCCAGCTTTGTGCTTCGACGGGGGGGTTGCAGAGAAGGGCTGAAAGGCCAGTTCTGTCTGAGGAGCACAGCCCTCCCCCTCCAGGTTGGGTTTGGTTACGGGACTATTTTTAAACCTACCCCATCTTTACTTCGCTCAAGACAGCGAGGTTGTGAAACTGCATCCAGAGAGCAAGATCTAGGAAGAGGGAGTGGAGAGCGTGAAAAGAGACATGGGGGGACATAAAATCAGGGGAACATGAGCAGCGCGGTCCTAGCTGATAGTGGAAGGAAGATTACCATCCTTTAGATTTCGACAGTGCCCTTGATTATCAAAAGGTAGCCAAACCTCATGATGTAAAGTCCCTGCCCTTTTGCAATGCAGCCACCTCTGGAGTGGAACACCTCAGCTGTTTAGCAGTACCTAGCAACCCTGCATAATGGTTTAGGAGAGAAAAACAAGGAAGAAGAATGCTGTATGTAATTGCAGCACTTGGCTCCTAATTATCCCAGTTTGTATTTTGGCAGGATGGTGGGGAAACTGGATTGAGGAGGCTGGCTGGTGCATCCTGGAGTATTTTACTCTCCTCTGTGAGCCATTTACTGTCCTCGGTGAGCCATTCATCGTGAAGAGAAACCCTGCTGCAGCAATTGGTTGCAGGTGAAGACGGTGCCATTGTTATTCTGTCCTAGCAGCAGTGCTAAGAAGGGCTGCGTGCACTGGGAAAAGGAAGAGGCGAGATCTGCATTTCTCCCACACAGATTTATTGTGGGCTGAACAGTATTTTAGTTCTTTAGCTCTCTTAGCCCTGGAGGCCAAGACCAACCCTTCACCCACTGTGCTGTGACCCCTGTATCACCAGGTCCCTACCTCCTGTTACCATATCACGAGTCCCTACAGGGCAAGTTCCTTGGCTGGGTGTGGGGAAAACAACTCCGGAAATTCAAACCACAATTCAGAAATACCCAGCAGCGGGCAGGGTTTCCAAGACATGTTGGGTGTTGATTAAAACTGTGATGCCACTTAAAAGACTACCAGTAATAGTGGTGCTGATACAGCTCTGTAATTAATGTGTATGAAGTGAAACTAATTTTTATTTGATGTTTCACTTTTAGATTTAAATGAGATTTTTCCAACAGACCAATTCCTGACTAGCCCCTGGGCTGGCTACACTCGGGGCACAGAGCTGCTGAGTAGGATGGCCTAGCTTGGCAGTCGCTTCTCAATCAATCTGCACCCTAAGGGTATGAATTTGTGTCTGAAGCAGGTAGGTTTCCACCAGCCACGCTAAAGTCAACCGTGGTTTCTGGCCATGACACTAACTCCAGAAACCTTTGGGACAGCAAGGGATACCAGGCAGCGTTTGGGCCAGGGGTGGGCAATTATTTCGGGCGGAGGGCCGCTTACTGAGTTTTGGCAAGCCATTGAGGGCCGCATGACAGGCAGCCAGGGGCAGATAAATATTAATTTTCAAAATTGTTTAGGGGCCCCGCAGGCCGGGTAGAATGGCCTGGCGGGCCACATTTTGCCCGCCCCTGGTTTAGGCGCTGGTGGGGCTTTGATGGGTGCTGGGAAGTGGTGGCAAGGGCAGCAGAAGTGTTGAGGACTGCAGGTGCTGGGTGATACTAATGGTTTTGGAAGGGAAGAGAGGTGCTGGGGGCTGGGGTGGCTGTGGGCGTGTTTCCCATCTCCAGCCAACACAGTTGGGCATCCAGAGCCATACTGGTTCAACAGGCTGCAGCACCAGTCTCATTGTAACTGGATGCCCCCCTTTCCCTGCACACCGCTGCAGCATAAGCTCTTGCCCAGGGACTCGATGCTAATGACCATCACTTGCCACCTAGAAGTAGCCCATCAGTTCAGCATCTGCCTTTCTCCTGCCAGACTCAGGCAAAGACTAATGCAGCCTTTGTCGCAGCAAGTGCCTGGCTCGGTCTCCTAGGTAGGCTGCTCTTGCCTGAAGCCTGTTACAGAGCAGTGCTCTGATCTGAGGCAGTGCTTGTTACACAGAACGCTGCCTCCGGCTTAGCTGTGGTTTCCAGAGCTCTGCAAAGGGGAGTGCAAGAGAGCCCCAGGCCTCAGATGCTTGTTTCCTTCCCTTTGGAAGGGTCTTCGCTGCTCTTAGCTGCAGGGGGGCACTCGGATGGGGGGGTACGGCCAGCTGGAACTTCTCCCCAGTGCACGAGTGCACTCCCTGACCATGTAATATTCAGATTGTAGAAGCCCTGTCCCATGCTCTGTTATTGCACTGCCCGAGGCAATGAACCGAGGGCCAAGCACTCTGCCACTCTGTTCCCTGGCCAGATCCCAAAAAGTGCTTAGGTGCCCAAGGAAGCTCTTATGTAAGGAAAGGTTTATTTAGTCTGGAAGAGAAAAGACTGTGAGGGGATTTAATACCTGCCTTCAACTGCTTGAAGGGGGTTTCCAAAAAGGCTGGAGCTGGGCTGTTCT